AATACAAAAATTAAGATGCAGTGACTCCCACATGTTTTCAAATATTTATATCTTTCAAGTTTTATTTGTAAATATCCCATATTAAATATTAGCTAATTACTTGGAATATTATTTACTCAAAATATTTTGATATTTATTTTATAATAAGTAAGGCTTAAAATAGAAAAAAATGCCTTTAGTAAATCTGTATGCAATATTTTTAGAATTATCAACAATTTTAAAGTTGTTTAAGTGCCGCTAAGCCTTTTTTTATGGCGGCCATTGATTGTTTACATTTGAAACAGCAGACTAGTGGATTTGTTGCCAATTTAGAGAAACTTAGCTTTGCAACAGCAAAGATAACGCCTTCATTTATTATTGCCAATTAAATCATGCTTAATCCTTTCTGGAATTTTTTCGAGGAAATAAGTGTTAAAGATTTACTTCATAATTTTTAATATAGATATTCTGAATTTTTATGTATTTTTGCCTTCTCGCGAAGTGAGACTGAATTAATTGAATGAGAAATACTCAATCGTCTGTGAAAAACTGTTTCTTTTTTATTTTGTTTGCTTAATTTCTTTTATACTTCATTCTAGCTTTATTATAGTATTTTAATAGAACATGTGGCAACGATTAGGTAATTCTATTCTTTAAATGATATAAATTTTGTGCATTATGAGTTATAATATGAACGAAATATAATATTGTTAAGTGAATCTAGCGCCAGAGTGTCGCTATGGTAAGCAAATATTAGAGTGAATTTTAAAGAATGCATTTATTCCATTGTGGTTTATGCGCTGTCGGCGAAGTAGATTTAATTCAATCCAATAAGTTTAAATGAAATGCAAGAAAAAATGCGTATAATTTAATATTCCGTACAAAGAAGTCATGTGGTGTACACAGCAGATTTTTTATGTTTGGTAGCAACACGCACAAAGATTCTTTTCCAAAATGGTCCTCAGTTCATCTTATCATCCACATCTAATTGCGAGACTTTATTTTAATTCATCAGTTATTTTATTATTTTGGACATTTTTGTATACCTCTACGTATGCAGATCCAAAAGTTTCTGGCCTGATATACTTCTAAATAATTAGAGAATATTTAATTTTTTTTTCAATATGATCTCCTTTTTCTTCGATACATTTTCCCCATCAAGTCTACGCCCCTGAAAAGTTGATCGGAAGTTTTGTCCTCAAAATGTTCCATAGCTGCGCTTTTCACGCCACCATTTTTGTTCAATTTTTTCCAACATAAGTCAGATTTCAGTTGGAGAATTATAATTATTTGAACTTAATATGGGATGCAAGGGGAGACAAATTTTTTAAAACCTATATTGCTGTTTTTTGAATCGCATCGGCACGTTGTTGTTTCTGAACTGCTGAAAGAAGTTGGGGTATCCATCACGTTGAAAGTTTCATACAGAATTATATATATTTCATACAAGTTTTAAATAATTTCACGTAGATTTAAAATGCAACGAGATTTACATATAGAAACAGTTTTCTTGGATTGATCCAGTCTTGCTGCTATCTCCTGAATTTTACTCTGCTATCACTCAATATTTCCGAACGGAATTTTATTGATTATGGCAATTGGTTTATTTGATTATGGCAAAGCACGCAAAAGCTATCTGCCTAATTTAATGGAGGAACTTTTCTAAGGGAAACTGGTTGACAATCCACGTTATACATGGAGAAAACCTCGAACATTTCCATTCAGCTAAGCCATTTGCCCGGAATCGAACCCAGGTCGAATCACCGGCTGCTTGTGGAACTATCTGCTGGACATGAGCAATATTTTCTGATGTCAGTCCCTCCAATTATAAACTTTCTGAGAAAAGGTGGGTTCTTGATGGAATTACTTTGCCTTCCTTCATACGATCGAAAAGAATAACCAGATGAGCAAATTTTAATTTTAAAAACCGCACTAATGTTTTGTTCCGTACTACTCGTTATAATTATATCATCTAGATAAATTAAAGTTGATTTTCCTAGGACAGGCTTTAGAACAATGTCCATAGCTCTCTGGAATGTTGATGGGGCCCCACACAACCCAAAGGGCATGCGTAAAAATGCATAAGTGCCCGATTTTGTTATAAACGCGGTTTTATGTATGTCTTCGGGTCTCATAGCTATTTGATAGTAGCCAGACGTTAAGTCCAAAGTAGACATGTATCTTGTCGATTTGATCTGTCTAATGATTTCCTCTATAACCGGCAAAGGGTAAACTGGGAATTTAGTAATACTATTTAGTTTTCTGTAATCGATAGCAAACCTCCAAGCCCTTTTATCCGAAGGAGGAAACTCGTTCTTTTTCCTACATAGTACGACTGGACTCGCGTACTCACTATTTATGGGCGTTATTATTTATTCTTTAACATCTCCTGAATATGTTCTTCGATGATTTGTCTTTTTGTTTATCATAGCGATAAGGTTTAGTCCTACAAGGTTTTTCGGCATTTAATTGTATATCATGCGTAACTATTTGACAGTTTACCAGGCCGTTTTTCTGAAAACAAGTTTGAAAAATTACTCACCACTTGCTGGATTGGCTTTGACTTTCATGGTCATTCAAATGGCTAAGGTCCAACTTGCGGTTGTCTCCACAGGTTCCACCACCCTCTGGTCCATCTCCAGCACCACGGAACTATCTTGAAAATTTCAATTTGGCCCTCGCGGCCCTTAAAAACTCCATACCTAAAAAGTGGAGTTTGCAAATTTTTCACCACAAAAATTAATACTTTGAGGCTTTCCTCTTTTACCTGTATGTTTAATGATAATTTCCCGATGCAGTGACATGTTTTTTTCCTTGCGCCGCTATAATTTCCGTATTTTTATTTTTAAATAATCGTAATCCTATAAAAATTCTTTTTGAAAAATTTTCACTCATAAAATTTCCTTCTGCTCCTGTATCGATGAGGGCTTCTACTGGTACATCGCCAACCAGGACTTGTATAATTGGTAGCTGTGAGTTTTTTACGATGACCGTATTTAAGTGTCTTTTGAGGGTTTTTTTAAAACTTCCGGGGTCTGGACCCTCCCTTTCACAGGCCCCTCTACTCGTTTAAAGCTTTCCTTTCAACTTGTGTCTTCTGGGTACGCGGATGTTTATTTTCAAATTTTCTTTTTGGGCCTTGACCTTCGAGTTTCGATGAGTTAGCTTGATAGCTCTTTCCCCCATAAGAGCGATTTCCATTTCTGGTTGCTCATTTGAAGATTCCTTCGGGTACTTTGAGAATACGTTTGCCCCTCTAGCTTTTTCCGCTATTCTGCGATTTTGAAACTTCACCGCCAATTCGAAGAGTTCCTGCAATGTGCTTGGGTTTCTAATTTCAAAGTAGTCTTGAACAGCGGGTAACAATCTTGGTAAGATTATTTCAATAATCTCCGCATCGGGTTTCTTCCCATACAGCATATCCGTTCAGCTTAATTTTTCGCAGAATAAAGTCCGTCAACTCTTCTATATCCCGTTGATAGAAACTATATAGTTCGGCTTCCAGCCTTGCTCGATCTTTCACTATGGGGAAGGCCTTTACTAACGATTTTTTGAAATTTTCAAATGTATATGTCTGGCTTCCAAATTCCCCTAATAAAAATTTGCCTATATTTTCCACCATAGCGCGGCCTGTCCTCTTAGTGCTGATGTGGCGATGGCAACTTTTTGTCTTTCAGGCACAGGGTAGAGCTGAAAGTGGATTTTCTAGGCCTTCTAGAAATATCGCCACCGAATTTTTTCCGTCGAAATTGACGTTTGGCTTGATTGACGCTCTCAAAGTCTGGACCAGGTATCCAAATCCTTCCTAATTGGCTTGTCATTTCTTGTTGTTGTTGTCCAGCGGCTTCCATCCATTTTCGGCCATTTCAGTTCGATAAGTGTTCGGGCGCCAATGTAACGTTGCGCGCTCCAACTTGCACGCAACCAGAGGTGACTGCTTGAAACTGGAAAAAGACAGAGTCTTAAGAAGGGTTTAAGTCCCTTTTTATTCAACTTTAGAAATTACAATTGCGTGCTCTTGACGCTCACAAACTACGCCGACCCGGCGGTAAAAAAAATAAAAATAAACTAAAAAGAAAAGATATAAACTAACAAGTACTAACTACGAGGCTCTCTAAACGTAACTAACCTCACCGCGTTTTACAATACCGCTGCTAATTCAGCAAACTTCTGAATAAGCTCACGTTGAAAGATTTAACTAACTTGCCGCCAAGCACACAGGCCGAAACGCGGGGTTCTTCAATTTCTCGCTAACTACCTCCGCGCTCGTGAAGTAAGAAAGCACACTTCGAACTCGTTTCCCTTCTATTTAACTCAGAATACTTCCGCTGATAATTTGAATCCTTGCGCGTTCTACTAAAATTTACATACTCTGGCATTGGCAGTTCCAGGGGAAAGTAAGGCTTGACAGGAAAGATAGTTTAAACTTAAAATAAATGTTAGTTTAAAATAAAAACCCTACACTATTTTAGAAAATTAATAGTGAAAATTACCTAGTTTAAAATCCCATCTCGTTTTCCGTATGCAATTAGGCATTGTTTTGGAAAAGTTTTTTTTTCAAAGATATCGGCTAAATAACTCACAAATGCTTTACCATCGACTGTTAACAGATACTTCATTTCAGGTTTGTCACTTAAAAGGTCAGGTAAATCACTAAGAGTATCAAACAGTCCCATAAATCTTTTCAAGCAGTTCCCTTTAGAAAGCCATCTTACTTCAGTGTGAAGTAAAAGTCTCACATAGTCTGCATTTTGTTCTTCACAAAATAGCTTGAAAAGACGCTCACATTTGGCATTAGCTTTATAGTATTGATACACTTTATTACTGAATGTAGTACTTCATCAGGGGCGTAGCTAGAGGGGGGGCAAGGGGGCATCTGTCCCCGGGCGCAGAATCCAAGGGGCGGCAAACTGATGTTACGACATTTTAGAATTAAATGTTTTCCATTCTTGACAAGCAGTAGGGGGCGCAAAATCGTCAGTTGTCCCTGGGCGCTGAAAACCTTAGCTACGACTCTGTACTTCATTTAGAACAGGCGAGATGTTTTTAGCTACCAAGTTTTCCCTATGAATAACACAATGCACAAGAATCATTTCTGGATTCTCATCTTTCATCAATTTTAAGCAGCCATTTTTCTTGTCCATCATATTAGGAGCACCATCTGCAGCACAAGATGTTATATTTTTCATTGGTATATTATTGACATCTAAGTAGATTTTTAGCTTATTATATATATATTTGGAGGTAGTGGTGCTTTCTAATCTTTTACAGAACAACATTTCTTCAGGAAAACGCCCTTTATCAATATATCTTACGTAAGTTATCAATACTGCCTCACTGTCTCTCAAAGTTGATTCATCCATCTGCACTGAGAGTTTTCTTGTTTTCAACAAGTTTTTTTGCAATATCTTCACTCATTCTGTTCCCAGTCTATTCTTCTACTAACAGTATTGTTACTGAGCTTTTACATTGTTACTGAGTTTTACTGGCAAAGCTTTTACATTTTTGTCATCCTTTTTCAAGAACCGTTTTAAGAAATGCTAATATTGACGGTTTTATTAAATTCTCTCCTAGAGTATGATTTTTTTCCAGATTTAGCGATGAATAAAGAAATTTGATAACTAGCCTCAAGAATACGATTATGAGTTGAAGTGTGAGCAGCAAATAGAGACTTTACTGTTGTCTTCTTTTCAAAATTTTCTTTAAAGTTTGAAAGTAATTCAAATCTGAATTAATATGAGCATTATGTTTCGCCTTCAAATGCGCCTCAAGACGACCTCGTTTCATTGATTCGTTGGTCAAGCATTGCTGGCATAAAAGACAAAAAGGAAACCGCTCATCGTGGACAGCAGGTATGAACCCAAATTTTAAATATTCCTCCGAATATTGACGAACTTTTTTCTTGTTTGCACCACTCATTTTACTATTGGCTGAAAGAAATATATATAAGATCAATTAAAAACTATGTGTTAAAATTAATTTAATGTGACATAGAGTAAACGTATACTAAAAAATACATATTTATTTAAATGTATATAACACATTTACCACACCTGCCACCGGAAAATAATATTTTTTCCATTTGACAAATTTGATGCAGGTAAAGTTTCATATAATAATTTGTTTTACTTTTCATAGAATTTTTACAAAGTTGAATTTAAAGATAGCAATAGTATAAGTACTAACTAAGGGCACAAATATCAAGTAAAAATTCAAAGCAATTTAAGAAAAAATATTTCAAATTAACAAAATATTTCAGTAAGAAAATAAATTAAGGTATATATTTGTTTATTTTTGACTAGTTTTATCAACTTCTAATTAGAGTGAAACATAAATATCATAAAAATTTCAAACTTATGTGTGAAATGTAACGCAAAAATAAATTAGGTAAAAAAGATAAAAAAAAAAAAAAAATTGCATTTATTAACACAAATAAATCAGAATAATATTTAAAATTAATATTTTATAATTTAAGAATCAATAAAAGATATGAGAGTTATGAAAAAATTATGCATGAAACACGATATTCATTATCTCATCTCAAATGTTAGCTATGTTCACGAACAATTAATGAATGACAAGTAAAAAAATAGAGATTTTTACGAATGAAATATTTAGAAGTAAATGAATTTGGCTGTTATAGCAGAAAAAGTTAGAGTAAACAATAACAAAATATAACTTACTTAAATTAAAAGCCCCTTCAACCCCCCTTCCTTTACCCCTTCAACTTCGTAAAAAATGATAACATTATAAGGTATTTCTCCCACTTCCCTAGCGTGCCTTCATGGTGTAACGGTAGCACGCTGGGCTGGTATTCCAGAGGTCCGTGGCTCGATTCCCAGCGAAGGCGGTTGCTAATTTTTCGTCTCTTTGGCTTCCAAAAAATCCGAATGACTCTACAGTGGCGCCCGAACTAAAAAGGGTTGTGGATGATGATTCTCCGCACCCAGGATTTGGTGATTAGGTCCCCTAAAACCCTAGTCGCCTTTTAAAAAGGAGAGTATATAAGGTATTTCTCCCACGTTCCTACCGTCCTTCGTGGTGTAGTGGTTCTGCACTCTGGGCCGGTATTCCACAGGCCCGTGGTTTGATTCCCGGGGAAGGCGTTTGCTATTTTTCATCTTGTCTGCTTTAAAAAAAATACCTAATGTCTCTACAACATTAATTAAAAAAAAAAAAGCCTAAATTAATACGAAATCTACGACTAAATACACACGTGGCTGTGAAGAAAAGAAATGCTTCTCAGACTCAGTTGGCGTCGGTCAGCTGACCCGTGACCTTTGCGACTGATCTTGGCTTTACAGCGCCACTTGTTTGACTCAACTGCTTCCGAGTCGAGTCCACGCGGAGCCTGCCGTCTGCCGCAGGGAGGTTAACTTGACGACGCCAAAAACCCAGTTGATATTTTTGTCTTGTCAAACGAATTTATAATATTTATTGGCCGAAATTAATTAAGAATTTGCTTTTTTCTTTCAAAATCTAGCACTGCATTTAAATGGCCAAGAGCAAAAGGGTTAAACTCGTGTCGAATCCATTTTCGAATTGTCCCCCTTAACAATCAAATTGCCCCCCTGTGGGGCGTGGGCCCCACGTTGGGAAACACAGTTCTAGAGTATCGAGTACATTTTCCATGGCCACAACAAGTGGTTCACAGAAGTACGTCAGACGGGGGAGGATAAACGAATATACGCAACAAGTGATGGTGTAGCACCGGCGTGCCAGGGTCAAAAGACCCTACCCCCAATCGAAAATAAGCTAATTCGAACACAATGCAGAATAATAATATGCCCAAGATATCTATTTTTTTCTATAATATTTTTAATATATATATATATATATATATTATTTTTTATTTATTTTTAACTAATTATTTATGGGCTTAATAAGTGAAGTTAGGATGATTAATAATGATCGATGAGAGCATACATGATCACGTGGAAAAAATGCCGTACAGGAAAGCTACTAGCAGGAACAGTAACAGCAGTACATAGCAAAAAGCATGCAAAAATTTGGTAAGTGCAAGACCTAGTGTGCAATATTAAAAGAACATATGAATACAATTTTACAATAGTTTACATACTCAGTACAAGTTAGGAGTAACATTAACACACAATACAAAACATACCATTCAGAAGGTAATCAAGGTATAGTTGAACTTAATCAACAGTGTCAATAAAAATGGCCATAGGCCTTTTGATGTTACATTGATCATTTACGTCATAATCGTAAATTTTAATTGCAGAGTTATTAATGGACTCCAGGTCTTCATGGAATTTCTTGGCGAGGCGATAGTAAAAGCTTCTAATATGGTCGATTTTCAGTTCAGTGCAGTCTGCGATTTCGAACATACCACGGGGCATTAGTAATTTGTCTCAAAACCCCATTCTGTGTGGTTGCAGCCTTTTCCTTAAGGATCTACTAGAATAAGCCCACACAAGGCAAGCATAACACAATAATGGACGTAAAAGGGACTTGTAAATGAGTAACTTGTTGTCTATAGAAAGAAAGAAAGAACGCTGTTTCGAGCTATTAAGGGGAATAGTGTATGTTTACGTACTCGAAACTTTCTGATAATAGATGTAATGTGTGGGGCCCATGAGAGAGTTTTACTGAGGATCACCCCAAGATAAAGGACTTGCCTGGACCAGGAATTGACACTCCGTAGAACTGCAGGTTTTTGTTGAATTTCTTCTTCTTTGTGAACAGGATTGCCTGAGTTTTTTCTCCACATTAACCTTAATTTTCCATCTGATGAGCCAAGTCTCTAATGCATGTATGTGGTTTTGTAGCCGTTGTATAGCTGGACTCACAAATGCACTTTGCGTAAGGATCGCAGTGTCATCAGCATACGTTGCGAGTGTTGTGTTGTTCAGAGTGGGTATGTCATTCACGTATATCTTAAAAAGTAAGTGTCCGAGCAGACTCCCCTGCGGGACACCTGCAAGAATAGGTCTAGGTACAGAAAGTGTTCCTGTGACGTGAACGACAAAGTGTCTACCTGCCAGGTAGGATTTAATTATGTGTGTAATGTACTCTGGGAGCCCCAGAGTGTGTAACTTGTAAGACACGGTCGAAAGCCTTAGCTATGTCGAGGAAAAGACCACTTGTGACCTTTTCCCGTTGCAAAAACTATTCCTAGCCTTCACTAATTCGTTCCACAACTCTATACAGTTGATGGGTCGTTGAGTGGTGACTTCGGAATCCAAATTGATACGGAATGAGTATATCGTTGCTTTCAATATGCTGCTTCAGTCTTGTAAGGATAACGGCCTCCACTATCTTGCTTAATGAAGACAGAAGACTAATAAGTCTATAGGATTCTGGAACATTCGCAGGTTTTTGAGGCTTGAGAATAGGTGTGATCACTACAACCTTCCAGCATTCAGGAAAATGCTGCCATTCGATAATGATATTGATAATCTTGGTGAAACGCAGTATAATCTTCCTAGGAAAGTTCTTGATCATCTAGTTCGTAATTTTGTCATATCCATGACTTTTATTTTTCTTCAGATTTTTGATGTAGCTACAGACTTCTGACGGCAAAACGAATATAAGTTTGGAGCAGGGTTTGTCTAGTACAACCCCACCTTGCCCTAGCAAGGCGTTTAAAGACACTGAGTATCTTCGTAGCATGGTTGGACAAGTCCTCTACATGTGGTTTCCATGCTAATTTGCGGTCGAAACAGTTACTAAAATGTATGGTAATGAATATGAGTAGTTAAAATCAAAACGATACATTTCAGCAGTTATGACTGTGATTAAAATGTCTTTGCAGTAAATTACCAGTGGAATAGAACGAGATAAATAAAAGGCGAGTATGAGCGGAAATCAGCAACTTTTCCAATTAACTTTCGATTACAATCTAACACTTCGTTAGTTTACCACTAAAAGCTTGAAAATCGCCTTTCAGTCATTTCATAGTCATTGTGATCCATGTACTGCAACTGCTGAACTTGATAAGGTCTTAGAACACTGTTTCTTGTAAATATCTATCTGATACGACTTTTCATTTTCCATGTCTTTTGTGCTTGCAGTGTATACATATATTTCACATTCCAACAACCTTCGGGCGTTGCATTATGAAAATTGTTATTTTTTCAATGCACAATCACCCTTTAAAGTTGTAAATAATATATAAAGTCGGTTCTTATATATTGTTACGAATTTTTTATATATGTGAATAACTGAAGGGAAATAATATTGAAACTGTAGCATCTCTTGTATAATAAGATGATAGTCCTCAAGAGAATTATGCTTCGTCGGAAAAATAAGGTTACAGGGACAAGTCCATTTAACTTATATTATTTTTATTTGGTTAACTTAAGGTAACTGGCCAAATTGGTTCCAATTACCAAATCGGCGT